GAAAAGTCTAATTTGTGTTTGTATTGTAAAATTTAACCAAAATGTTGTAATCATTGCTTTCATTTGAAACAACGTTTATTGGGGTACAAAATAAAGTGATCCATTTGTTTGTATGTTGCGGTTCAAAAGCCATGGTTAGTGTCCATTTCTCAACTCAATATATTATCAAAGAGTTGTTTTTGAATATCTTTACAAATAATAAGGAGTAGTTTTAGATCCATTTGTTATCAAATAAACTCATATAATTACATATTTTGTTTGTCATCACATATTTTCACATATTTAAAAAAATGAGGCAAAATATGTGAGAATTGTAGAATTTTTCAATGAATGTGACCTGAGCAATTGATGCAAAACTGATATTCCTGGTGGTAAATCTAAAAAATCTTACTTTTTAACACTTCAAACATATTTACCAGTAAAAAATTATTACTAGCTCAAATAAACAAACGTTTGAGTAAAAACACAAATGTTAAAGTAGGCATTTGTATACAGTATATTGAGTAATAAAAATATGCTTACCATTATTTTAATTTGATAATAAATAAATTTATACAGTACTGTATATATTATTTGAGAGAAAATCGTATATTTGAATATATTTTTGTCACATTTCATGGAAATATTTTTAATAAACAAAATATATATGACTGAAATTTAACCATATTTGTAATATAATTAATTATTTATAATTTATTCATTTACTATATATTGTTTTGCTTAATTTATTACATTTGCATGCTTATTATTCTAGTAGCCACAAACCAAGATGATTATTAATACTTAATTTGAAATATTTTATTGTATATCTAGAATAAAGTATTTTTATTAAAATAAAGAATTAAATATTTAACCTGTAAAACTAATTTTAAATTAAAAAATTTACATTTACTATAATTAAATGTTTTTAATATTAATTTTTAATCTTAAAAACAAATATAAATTAAAACCAATTCAACTTACAAATATAACTATTAAAGACAATCAAGTAGTCTATTAAATAGTCTATTAAAAGAAAACTTATAATTGTGGGAAATTCTCACGTTTAAGAATAATGCCAATCATTGTTTGGAATTCTTTATATTAAAAGAATGAATGATTAGAATATAATCAATCAATTTGGAAATTGTATTTTCAATTATTAACTTAATGTCGATTTGACACATTTTCACCATACACTATATGGCATATAGTGTCCAGTATATTACTGTATAATCTACATCTGTATGTAGTTGTTGTATGTCATTTATCCAAATCAAAGCATATTTAAAAATATTCGTTTATTCAACTCAATTAAAACTTCGTTTATAATTAAATATTTATTTTTATTTTTAAATATCAAACATAAAATGTTGAATTTATTCCAGTAATTTAAAAATGAGTTAACTTAAATTGGATAAAAACAAATGTTAGTTTTTATTTATGCAAATTAAAAATCTTAATAAAATCATTGTATAATATTTTAATAAAATGCATGTAAGATTATACAATAATATTTACTTTACTTGTAATAAGTTTCTATAACATACTAAAACAATACAAGTTAAATAATATTTAATTAAAAATATTATAAATTTTAATAATAGATACAATACATGTTATGTATAAAAATTATTGTAATAAAATTCTTTATATTGATATATAATTAATATATAATTAACAAATTTATATTTTCAATATTTGATTGCTTAAACAATATTTATTTTAAGATTTATACGACCAAATAAATTGTCTTAAATATTAGAACAATTTTACTAGAAAAAATAAATTATATAATATTTATTGCAAACTCATATATTTCTAAATTAATCAATACTTTTTGATGATTTTAATATATAAAAATTGGTTTATTCTAGTTTTTTAAATAAAATTATAAGAATATTCATTTTATTATGTTTTTAAAAATTTAATATAAATTTACTTTTAATTAAAATATGAGAAAAATAATTAATTCTAAGTAAAACTCTGTTTGTCTCGACGTAAGCAAAATATTTTACATTTAAAATCAAAGTTGATATAAATATATGTGCAAAACATATCACGAATACAGACATTGAATCCTAAATGACTGCACACTGTAAGCGATAAAATGCAGAAATCGATTGATTTAATGTGTAAGCGATTGTAGTTTTTGGACTAATTCTTCAGGTTCTGTGAAATGACGTAATTTTGACGTTTTTGGCAGACCTGCTGTGCCTTACAATTAGTTAATACAAGTGAACAACGAATGCCGTCTTCTCATTGGCTTTGAAGGTAGGAATCGATTGTATTTTACGTCAGAATAAATGGATTGACGTCCGAAAGACGTTTCGTTGTCTTAGATACCGATTCACTGGAGAACGTAAGCCAACAAATATATACTCTAACTCGTGGTAAGGCTTGTGTCAGATCACAGCCAAACACTGTTAGAGTCATAACACAAAATCTAAGTCTTATCAAATTGTTATCATATAAGTGGTCACAATATTGTGATAATCAGTTTAAAATCTGGCACAACCACCGAATCAACAAGAATTTCACTCTCGGATCAATTGTGTGAAGACATCGCAACCATTTCCAACTTCAACTCAATTTGATTTCGACCAAAAACTCTCTTATCATTGGTTTAACACTTCTCACAATCAAAGGAATTATAACAAGTCTGGAACAGGTATTTCATTATTTCTTCATTTCTTTGCAGTATATTTTGCTTATTATATCTATAAATATATAAATAAATATAAAACTATTACTTATATAAACATTATTATGTAGTTCTCTCTTGGTCAAACTTTTATTTATATATCCAGGTTATAACTAACTTACTATCAAAGCTTATTAAAGTAACTTATTATCAATTATTTTAACCTTAAATTATTTAAAAATAGAATTGAAATATAATTGCAATTATTCGCGTTTTCATAAATGAACATTAATAGTTAGTTTTTTGCATTTTTCATATATTATTAAATGCTAACTAGTAAGTTTTGCGTTTTGCTAAATCTCTGTCTTAATCTAATAGATATGGTGTTTATAAGTGAATTTTGAGTGAAATATTGATATTTATAGACTTTTTGTTAGAAAATAGTTGTCCGAAATAGTAATGCATTTTCTGATAGCGAAAATCTCAATGAAAGCTTTGTATTGATGTTCTATTTTTAGTATTTGTGTCCTTATTATTATTGAGTCGGTCTTTCATGCGATACCAGTTGTCGTAAGCATTACTACATTAAATATGCGCTCTTTTTATCGATTAGTTAACAAAACTCTATCGCTTGCACTCATATCACGTAAATAAACAATCGATCGTTCCTTCGCTCCCAAACACTCCCTTCATTGAAACTCATATTCCGTAGACATCCCTCTCCTCTCATGAGCTAAACACTGACGTAAATGACTCTTAGAAACGGAAGAATTGAGCCATAGATACAAATAGCAAAGACATACCTCTCATTGCGTCAGTAGTAGTCATCACTTTTCTCTCATTAGTTTCTGTACGTCATTCGCAACACATTTAGAGCATAGATTGTACCAGAATTACAGTCAATATAATTCACAACTATTTCTGCATTCAATTCTTATTCTACATCACATACTATACATTGCTATATAATCTCAATTCACTTTACGTCACATTTTACATAAATATCTGCATTTTGGCGCATATTCTCTATTTCTATAGTATTTCTAAAATTATATATTTATAGTATTTTTATACAAACAACTTATTTTCAAGTTATTTTTACAATTTATTACTTATGTAATAATTGTTTTTTATCGACATCTGTTTATTCTAATAGTTATTAGTACAACAATAAAAATAGATATCTTTTGCATTTTTATATGTTATTTAAAATGTTTTATAAATCGCTGTAAAAAGTTTTTATTATAACAATTTATAGCTCAGAGAGAAAGCAAATTATATTTTACTATAAAGTGCGTAAAAATAAATGTATTTTTTTAAATTATTTTCAGACTTTAAGAGTAATCACAAAAAGTTGAGAACAGAAAGTCCAAACTTTGGACAATATTCTCAATTCAACTGCAATTCAAATCCTTATTGTTATTTTGCAAACTATAACAACTCGACCACTGGAGCCAAAGTGCACGGTATCGATACCGTCGCGCAAACACTTCAGAGGGCATTGAAATTGGACACAACCATGATATTACTCCAACAACCACAGGTATGGCTTACAATTATTTATATACCTCGCTCATTCGCGTAATTACATTATTTAACACATAGAAAATTGTTTGCAAAAAAGTTCTACTTGATATATAAATATATTTGTTAAAGCTACCAATTGTCTACTAATTATTTGGTAACCTATTATATACGCCTACCACTCTCTCTTTCAAGTTAAAGTGTTTTTGAAACCCAAGTTAGCAAAAATGTATAGTTTGAAGATTACTTTCAATATTATTGTAGTATTAATTCTACAATTAAATATCAGAAAGAAATGAGCATAAAGTAGATCAAGGGTGTCATTGGGTTTTATTCAGTGCCATCAATGCTACGAATGCCGGTAATCACTGGAGATAACGGCTAATCAGGTGAAAATTGTGCACATTTTGCCACCTAAGCCAAGCCAAACACTCAATTAAGATATAACTCATCTCCAGTTTTACTATTGGTTTTGATGATAATAAATCTTAAGTGTTTCGATTCTATAAGTATTGCTTTACCAAAAGCAAAGGTGTGTATAAAGTTTGCAAAACTATTATTTCTTGATAAAGTAATCAAACATAAAGTAGCTTTAGAAGAGGTGTTAGGATAGCATATAACTGTTAGATTATGTAAGCACTGAATACAATAACAATAATGTGACTAATTTTTATATAAATTTACACTTTCATATTGAACTTCGGTCTTACCTGAGATACCTGTGCTGCCAATGCAAGCAATGCATCACATATTATAGAAACATTGGTTGCATGCATTGACAGCGTCGCCGGTTGTGCCAATTGTTTAATTAGATGATGACTTTTATTTTACAGAGTGCTTCCTTTGGTAGTACCGGTGCACTGCTGGGCCCCGATCTCGGCATCACTTCTTATAACATTGACGACTCTTTCGAAGACTTCAAACTCTTTGACTTTCCTATTGAGGACTCGTTAGACGACGAGTCAAACTTTGTTGACTTCACTGATATGTATAGTCAACCCGAACAACAGTCATCTCCACAGACTTGTCCCTCAACTGCTCCGTCGACTACGTGTTCGCTTGAATCAGTTTCGGTGACGTCGACGCCATCCACTCCGAGCGCTGCAACTCTTCCCAGTTTTCTTGAGACATATTCTCCTCGATATCGACAACCAGTTTCTACGTCTGGAATGTATTTTAAGTTTGAAGACATTGGATCTGAAGAGGATTCTATGGAAAGCGAGACCTTCTCTCTGCAGCGCTCCAATGTTTCAGTCGCTTCGGTCAGCTCTCCATCTCTATCTCCCGCCTCCTTCTGTGGACATCAATCCAATACCAACTCTAACGCATTGGTTCTCAAACAAGAGATGCCCGACACTTATATGACACCCACTGGACAGACACCGATGGATATGAGCTATGGAGCGCCCGCACCAGTGACTCAACGCAACGCATACCCGACACCACCGACCGGTGCAACCTATCCATCGCCCAGTGATAAACCGATTGTCGCCAATTCAACGCAACAACACTATCAGTTCAACAATTATACGCCTTCGCCCCTTCAGTCTCAGCCCAATAACAATGCTTTTGCACAGCAGAGCACGTCTTATCACTGCTCATCGCTTGAATCAAAAACAAGTTTCTGTCCCTCACTTCACAACATATCTTCATATCCAACAACTGAACCATTATTACCTCGAATTAACAGTGAGAAAGTGCAGCGCAAACCCGCCCTAACTCTTCCGAGTCCTCCGCCTTCTGAAGCGAGTGTCCGAATGCATACTCCGACGACTCCCACATCTAATTCTTCTCGATCTTCGCCTAATGAGTCTCCGTCTCCGAGTCAGTTGTGTGCAGTTTGTGGTGATAACGCCGCCTGTCAGCACTATGGCGTCCGCACATGTGAAGGTATGCACCATTCAAACCATTCAAACGATCCACTTATCAACAGAAGCATTCATTTATTGACAAATACTTATACATATCTATCAGATCCGCCACTTAAGTATTCATTATCTCTGTTTCTCTTCTAATAGGATGTAAAGGATTTTTTAAGCGAACTGTTCAGAAGGGGGCTAAGTATGTATGTCTGGGTAATAAGGACTGTCCCGTCGATAAGAGGAGGAGAAATAGGTGTCAGTTTTGCAGATTCCAGAAATGTTTGGCCGTAGGAATGGTTAAAGAAGGTATAAGTGCTTTATTATTACATAATAAACGTATTTTGTAATAAAAATCAATTTCTGTTTAAACAGTGGTTCGAACCGATAATCTTAAAGGAAGAAGAGGTCGATTGCCATCAAAACCTAAGTCACCCCAAGAATCGCCTCCTTCTCCACCTGTGAGCACAATAACAGCACTTGTGAGGGCACACGTGGACACAACACCCGACTTGGCTAACCTTGATTACACTCTTGTATGTATACTATTAATAAACTAATTAATTCTGAAAATTCATTTTCCAAATGATTTACTTTTTAAAGTTCAAAGAGTCGAATGATTTGAGCGAAAAGGATTGTGAAGCAGAATATATTACACAGTTTTATAGCATTTTAATGTCATCTCTCGATGTCATCCATACTTTTGCTGAAAAAATCCCAGGATTTTCAGATCTCGACAAATCAGATCAATCATTGCTTTTTCAATCGGCATGTCTTGAATTGTTTGTACTGAGAATGGCCTACAGGTTAGTTCATGACATGCCTTTATTCACTACATTTAGCCTAATATTTGGTCAAATTTATATTTTGAATGAAGAATGCAATCAAATGCGGATCGGTTTACGTTTTGCAGTGGAATTGTTTTGAGTAGATCTCAATGCGAACAGAGTTTTGGCGATTGGTTGTCGTCCATCACCGACTTCTCACGACATCTTCGTCTCATGGATTTAGACATCTCTGCTTTCGCCTGTTTATGCGCTCTCACTCTCGTCACAGGTATGCAAACATTGCAAACATTACTACAATAGATGTTAATTGTGTTTGAATTGCAAATGTATGACATAGAGAGACACGGTTTGAAAGAAGCGCATAAAGTGGAACAGTTACAGATGAAGATCATCAGCTCTCTCAAAGATCACGTCACGTACAACAGTGAAGCGCAGAAAAAGCCGCACTATTTCTCACGAATTTTGGCTAAACTGCCGGATTTGCGCACACTTTCCGTCAATGGATTGCAACGCATCTTCTCTTTGAAACTCGAAGACGTTGTCTCCACTCCCGCTGCTATTGAAAGTATGTTTTGTCCCACTTTACCCTATTAAACCATGTCTACAGCATCACCACAACCACATCCACTACAACCACAACCACCGACATTATCATACCTTACACTTTCATTCGTTAGTACCATATTTACATAAAATTTAATAATACTCTCATATAATTTCAATTCAATGATACATGATACATTATCAAATTAGTTCCATAAGTAATTATCATACACTATTTTAAATATTACAGTAAATATACAGTATTATTAATATATAATTTAATCAATAAATTAGCTATACTGACTTGTAAGAATTAATTTAATCGTTAGCACCAAAGCCACTGCCATAACTAGTAGTGAATTATTATTATCTATTTAAGAGTAACTAATTATATGATTATTACAATATAAAGTATTGAATCGACAACATATACCGATTCATAGCTTCTTATGCCTTATTCACACTTTGATTTATAATTTAGTTCTCTCTCCCCCCCCCCCCCC